AAACTATATAATAACCGGCTCGTGTTGGGCAGGTTTTCAGTTGTAGCCAGGGACTGCCAAATTGGGGAGAATGTTTTAGCTACTCTGCCGTGCTTACAATATTAATAGTAAATATGTTTGAAATACATGTGGACTTACTGTTCTTATCGTAAGCATGGCAGCATTAATTATTAAAATTTAATATTTTCAAATATTTATGTTTAAAATTACCTTTTTTTTTTTAATTATCATTTATATCATAACTTCAGAGTAACTGAACCAATAAAGACTGTCTTAGGTAAATATTTAGATATCAATGTGTTTTTTCCAAGCAAGCCTGTTTGTTATCGATCTATATGCACTTACAATGGTACCTGTTACACAAAGATACATTCCATTTATGCCTTGTTTAATATACTTAAGTAAACATAAGTTTGTTCATGATATCTCAAGTTCTTAGGTTTTGGCTGTTTTTACATATAGGAAATGAAATTATTTTTTCGCATCTAAATTGCGTATGTTACAGGTTCTATGACCGCGGCCGAATGAGAGTCAGCCATGACCACGGGACCTTTAAAGGGCCCGAAACGTCGGTTTGTTTGAAAAAACAAATATAAGCAAAATAGATCCTAAAAAATACTTTCATTTATGATTTGTTCCTGGTACCAAAAAACTTCCATTTACATACATAATTACGAAACAGTTTTTGCACTTAAAATATGTTTTAAAATATTGCCTGAGGTTGGAGTCCCCATTTGTCATCATGGTGCGGAGAACTCGTAATATTCTACATTTGATATCATTTTATATTTAACATATCTGCTTTCATAATATGTGTAACACATGTTACAACTTTGCCATAGCCAGGTAAAAACTAACTTAATAATGTGGTGTAATTTTTCCATTCTCTAAGGTGTAACGTAAATAAATTTGTGATAAATTATATCATAGATACGAGTAGAGAGATTTATGTATATATTTTTTAATTGTAAAAAGCGCTGGAGCTTTGATTTTTAGTATTCGTTCGATAGCAATGTGTGCGTAAAATATGGCTAGCAATTTGCCTCGTAGCCCACTCTGTTTTGTCGGAAAAATTGAAATAATTGTAGTTATTCAATAATATTCAAGACAAAATATTTTTTTGAGATATCCTGAAAAACCATAACCCACTTTTAGAATATTGAAATTGTTTAATGACGTTTCAGCTATGCATAGTTAGGGTAAGTTCCGATAAGTCGCAGAAGTTAACTAATTTTAACTGTTTTTAAAAGAGAATTTTGTGCTTTATTTTTAACCGACTTTAAAAAATGAGGAGATTCTCAATTCGTCTATGTTTTTTTTTGTATGTGTGTTACGCGATAACTCCGCCATTTGTAAACCGATTTTGATGATTCTTTTTTTGTTGGAAAGAGGGTACCTCAGAAGTGGTCTCATTTAAATTTGAAGAAAATATTCCACCTCTAAGGGTGGTAAACTAGGGGATGAATGATTTTTGAGGTCGGTTTTTTTAGCCGGAGGTTAGGTTATTTGTTATTTAAATCGGATATTTGACCATTTGTTACTTAGTTTTAGTTAGTGGACGGCAGATAATAGGTACAGTCATATACGCAAGATACCTGATCCCCTAAGCCGGCTTTGTCGACCTTTGGTTCTGAGTACAAAAAGGTGGAGAATATTGTTAAACAAACTTAATCTTTAACCTTTGAGCCTCAACATTTATTTTGGTTATCTCATTAGTGAATGACATTGTAGAAAGTTTTAAGCCAATTTGATCTTTAACGTATAGCTCTTACTTAAATACAGAGTACAAATTTCAACCAGCTATAGTAAATTCGTCGTAGCTTAGCGGTATAAGGATTGTTTTGCAAGTTGAGGCAAGCATGGTTCGAGTCACATTAAAAATAAAATATTATTTAGCTTTGACTACATAATATTGTTTTTTTTTTGTTTTCAACCTCTGGATATGTGTAAGGAATGTCTAAGATTAGATTAGATTCTCAAAGTGAACCACCTCCTACAAACATTAGGTGAATGAAATAAAAGTGACATTCCTGAGTAATTCAACAAATATTTTAATATTTTATTCTTCTAAATTATACCTAATGAGTAAACATATTTAAAATACTTACATCCTGTATCAGTAACTACTGTATTTTTTAAACTCATAATTATATCGACATTGACAAAACGTTAGAAAATTTACTTTAATTAAACGTTAGTAATTTTATTACTTAAAGTAGTTAGTAGCTAGTGTCAATACATTTTTCACGAAAAGTAAACAAACCGGTTTGGTAAAATTGTTAAGCAATCATTCAATTAATGGAATATCTTACGCATTCGTATTTGAAGATTTGAACTTGATATATCACCACTTCCTTCCGGAAAACCTTCAAAATCGATCACTTACTGTAAACGGTTTTTCATGCCTATTGCCATCGACCAGCATAAATCTTCACCGCGCATTGACTCCCACATGGACACCACAAGGTCCTTCTTCCTGGTCCTTATGAATTTGAGCAGTTGATTTTGTAGTGGCAAAGGGATTTTCAGTATGGCGATTGAAAATATCTAGGTGACGACTAGATGCAGAAGTAAACGTTACCAGTGCTGGCCCCGGGTTACGTTGCACATTTCCGTGCTCGTGGCGTCGCTCTGTGTCGATTGATCCATAGCTTGACAGTGTTTCTCTGTGAACAAGCAATTTATAATACTGTATAGTAGGCCTTCATAATTGTAGTTTCGAATTTCACCTATTGCTAGATTTATATATTTTTTTATATATTTATAATTTTAATAATTCGTTAAACATATTTTATAACACCCATGGGATAATGAAGGATGGGGTGGTCCTTTTTGCAAATTTAAGCCACCTGCAGCACTGTGAAAAATATAATGAGTCTACTTACCGCTATATGAAGTCTTGCAATTTCTTTGATTGGCACATCTTGTTCATACAGAACAGTAGTTTCTAATTTTAATAATTCCGTTAAGTGCGGCATATCAAAACAAGAAAGAATACTTTGAAAGTAATTAAAACTGAATAGATAAATGGTAACGAAACGTGGAATAATGCGTAATCACAGGAGACACGATCGTATGTAACCTGCAGAGCGATTTCGTGATTTGTTAATCTGTCCATACCCACCTTACACTGTATTAATAATATGTACCCACCCACCTTAAGCAATTTCTAGTGAGCAAATATTGTGATTTGTCAACGTTAACATTAAAAAGTGAAACAATGCTGTTAAAAATATAACGTTAAAACAAAATAGTGCTCGTGGAATCGAACCACGGGTATTGTAACTGGCAGTACATACAACAACCGGCTCGACCAATTTACTTGAATGTTAGATGACGAAATTTAGGATTGGTTTTAAAAATATGTTGATCATCTTCAAGCAACACTCCACTGTATTACTTATGCGATATAAGTGCGATAAAGTTGAAATTGCTTTAATTTTTTCTTTGTTCAGTACGTAAGATGGCTCTCAGAACCAAAAGGTCGGTTTGGACATTAGGGGGTCAGTCTCATGTATATGACTGTGCATACAAAGGTTGAAATGACAACGTGTTTGACCATCGTGAGAGAGTGGAACCCGTACTAGGATACCCTGTGTTACAGTATTCCGACCTCCACTCTCAGACTCGTTTTTGATATATATGACATAGGTGCATTTAATAACTGTAATACTTAATAACAAAAATAAAAAAAGGAAAAGAAGGCATAACAAAGTTGGTATGAAGCTAAATCAGTACAATACTTATTGCTCGTACGGACAACAGCACATCAGACTATACATTAATATTCTTTATTCTTTTAAAAAAAACTATAGATTTTATTTAACAGAATTGTAAAAAACACATAAGAAATATTAGATGTATCATTTGTGTATAAGTGGATTTTGTATGTATATGTGGCCTAATTCGGTTATACTTTTTGCAATCAGTTCCAACTTTATAGTTAGGAAATAAGTAGTTTTTTCTTTTCTTTTATATATAATTAAGTTTGTTTGATAGTTGAATGGTGTTTGCATACATAACATAATATTATCAATTAATTATAAATAAATTATAAATAAATTAACAATAGGTATAGATATAGTTAAGCATCACACATTTTGTCGCATCATAAATTAATTGTACGCATATTGCGAATTTAAGTAAGTCAATGTTTTTGTAGTATTAGTTTAGTGCGCCTGTGACGCACTCCCTGGGCTCCGCATAATACCAGCGACGTGGCTGTTCTCAGCCACGGCACATGCTGAGCGGTGCCCATTCAGTATCAGTAATTTTAGTTTTAATTTATTTTTATGTACATACAATTTAAGGGTACTGAATAAATGTTTCTTTCTTCTTCTTCTTCTTCTTCTTCATTTTTGTTCGAAAATCGCCTCTAGTGCAACGGAACAAGATATGTCAATGTGTAGCTTGATGTGCTGGCGTGTGTACATGGAACACAAATTGTGTGTGTGCGTGCGTGCGTGCGTGTGTGCGTGCGTGCGTGAGTGCGTGCGTGCTTGCGTGCGTGCGTGCGTGCGTGCGTGCGTGCGTGTGTGAGTGCGTGCGTGCGTGCGTGCGTGCGTGCGTGCGTGCGTGCGTGCGTGCGCGTGTGTTTGCGTGTGTGCTATACATGAAGCTAGTGTATATATACATAAAGCTACGGTCGTTCTTAATTACGCCCTGAAAGTAGAGTCACATATTTTAATTTAAATTCAAGTGTGTATATGTATGCACTGGATGAGCTGAGCGTTTTCTGAACAATAGAAATGCTGTATGGAGAAACCACATCCCACCAATTAATTAAGATTAGTCAAATGCTTGGCATCACATAAAAATGTTATTGAACTCTATTTCACAGGTGGGACCAAGTCCAGGTATTCGTTCAGCGGATGACCTCTGGATCGCTCGCTACATCTTGTCGCGACTCGCCGAAGAGTATGGCGCCGTCTGTAACTTTGATGCACAGCCCGTTCCAGACTGGCCTGGCAACGGCTGCTTTTGCTACTTCTCCACAAAGGACATGAGAGAAGACGATGGAATTTTGTTAGTGCAACTTTGGTTATTTACATCACAATTAAAGGTACTGTTTCTATGGGCCTAAACAAATGAAATATCGTACTTGGGTTCGTGCTTTTAGTAGCATTAGTGCACATTGTGAAAGAGTGTTAACCTTAATTATTTCTGCCACCGAGCGCTAATGTGAGCATCACTGCCTCCCGGTTTTGATGGTAAGCGTGCTGGTGAAATTACAGGCACATGGGATTTGTTAACTTATGTCCCAGGGTGACGGGCGCAGACCAATGCCCCTCAGATCTTTGCGATTTAAAACACTGCAACTGATATGGACAGGCGTATCGCTTACTACCAGGTGCACGACTTTTTCGTCCCGTCACTTGGTAACATAAACAAAAACGGTATGTCCCCGCGAAGCGACGAGTTAAATACGTCTTTCCAGCTACCGTATAAGCTTAAGCCATTAGAAAATTGTATTTAGTACATACACTGGGGTTGAATTAGGTACGGACTTTCGCAAGACACGTTAATGAGAAAGCGTCTCTGATATGTCACGTCGAGTTACTTCACTGAAACAAAAGAATGTTCTATCGTATACATTTGAGTAATTAATCATTCGTAATACACAAGATATTCAAGATTGTAGTATCTGTTAAACTGTAGACGCTTATATCAATATAACATATTGGGGGCTTGCTAATTTCTTATGAAACATAAACATAATTTGCCACTAACTAATATGAAACGTACTAATAGAAATGAACAAATTATTACCTTCTTCAAAACTAAAACATGGCAAATAGATATGGCTCCACGAACTTTTATTATAATTTAGTTTACGTTTCAATGAGGCTGCCGTATACCGGTGGAATGTCACGAGTGCTGGAAGGCAATTTATTCCACTAACGAGCTGCAAGGACGGTAAAAGAATTGTGGAAAAATTTGTTCCATTCAGATTTCAGAACCTTTTGTTCTCATTTAACAGTGTCTGATCTATTCTGTACAAGGGCTGATCCGGAGTCAGTATCTGAAACTATAAGATCCCTGTGCTAGTACATGTTGTAAGGTCACTATAATCAGAACATATGTCGAAAGACACGGGACTACTATAAATAAATGTAATAACATAAGAATAGAAAAGATTCAGTTTACTTACTCTTCTGTTTC